ACGTCTTTGGCCGTTTTTTTGCTGGCTAACTTGACAACGAGAAAGATAGAAATAGTAAGATGCATACAGTATGCCTTTCTTTAAGACTTAAGGTTTAAGTGATAAACCAGAATGAACTGGTGCTGGAAATGCTGAGGTTTTACCGTGCTGAACGAAGTACAGTGGTAGGAATGGGGAGTCTCAATAACAATAATTGATTTTACAGTTGAGGGGAGATCAAAATTGAGATGTATGGAAAACCACGGATGTAAAAAAAACAAGTGACTGAAAAGCAGTCTGTTTGATGATGGTGTTACATTCTCAAATATCTTACACTTATTTACACCAACAAATGTCACTAATCTAAGTATGGATCTAAATCCAAGTATCTAAGTATGGAGCCAACTGATTGTGGGAAATATATAGTACTAAATATAATAATTTTGTTTTGAAACGGATAGGTTATGGGAGTATGCGAGAACGCCAGTCTGATTACCATATTCCCCAAAAGAAGCGATACGTACGATTAATGTCTGAAAATATAATTTCAGTGCGCTGTCATTATGGTACTTATAAATGTTGCATTAGCGCTGCTGAATTGTTTGCTAGCAGTGCCGAGCTGTTTCGATCCGATGGAACGTTGCTTAAATGGCGGAGTATGTGTGAAGACCACAAATAAAGCTCACTCAACTATAGTTAGCTGCTTCCTTTTCATTTATCCTAATTGTTTTCATTAATACCAAGTTAATTTCGTGATTTAACAGAACGTTAACTCATTCATCAATTAGGCAGATTGCTTCATCTTATTTTATGGGTTTTGTCATTAGCTGTGAAACTTTTCCATAGCCAATTGCTATTGGGACTGTATCCATTCATGTCACACTTTTTCGCTGTTCTCCCCATTTAAAATATTCTATCTTCATGTTGAGCTCACTACACACTCAAATTAATTTTTGAAGTATTTAAAGATTTATGTTTTATGTGCAGTTAGTATTATTTATATGACAGTTTTACAAATTCTGCGTTCAAAATAAGCTTGGAATTACCGTATAACAAGAAACGCATTTAGAATTTATTTATCTTTTCTTGTCTCTTTTCCTTGCTGTTCCTCTCTCGAACGGATTTGTTTACATTTATTATTTGAAAGCTGATGAGTAGGATAAGAGCCCATATTCCTAAAGTTAGTTCAACAAATCTAGTACGAAATGCGTAAAATATATTTGATTCCCCATTCTCTCGCTCTCTATACACGACTCAGTCCACAACAACGAAGTAAGATTTGCGAGGTCGATTCGATGTCGTTTAAAAGTGTTAAAAGAACTTTTATTTTTGAAAGTTTTGAAGCATAAATGGAATATTTCAGTGTTCGTGCTCAACAGGTTATGGTGGTGAAAAGTGCGAAAAAGTTCTCGACCTTTGTGAAGCATTTCCTCATTATTGCAATGCAGGTACATGTGTAAGTGTAAACGGATCTGCTGTATGTCACTGTTCTATGGGATATTTTGGACAAAACTGCGAATACACCTTCGATAAGTTAGTTTACTCCTATACGCTGTTATTCATTATCTTCAAAAAATTTTGATTTCCATGCGACGAAAATCTCCAGATTATTTAATCTGAGAATACTTATGGTTTTGTGGTATGGCTGTGTTGCTTTTGCTATCGCTCTTTTATTTGTTTCTAACATTTTGTCGCCATAGTTGCAGGCTAGTTTATCTTAGCTTGTATTTTTTGCAATGCACTTTGAAATATATCATTGCCTCTCTTCCAGTACTTTAAGAGACATTTATAGAAAAAATTTTTGAAAACCAAAAAAAGTCGAAATTTGGTTTATCATATCCTATTTTTATCCATTTTGCTTCGGAATGATTAATAGCGGTTTGTTTATAGATGCAAGCTTGGAAATATATGTAGAAATGGCGGTACTTGTATTGATGATATCTGCTTTTGTACTGATGGTATGTCTCTCAGTTGCTTATCTTGTTAATCATCATACTAATACATCATGCAACCAGGAAGTTTGATGTATTTTATTCTACTTTTGAGTAATTTACAATTTTTGTATTTTTTTCTTCTCTAGGATTTAGCGGTGAAGTTTGTGAAAGACATGTACCAGAAAGAGATGACTATTTGAGAGCTGGATGTGAAGAACATCCGGAATTTTGTGCCTTGCGTTTTTCGGATGGAACCTGTAATGAGGAATGTAATAATGAAAAGTGTTTTTTTGATGGCTTCGATTGTGTTTTGAGTGCACAAGAATGCAGGTAAGCGGCAGCACTACTGTAATTTTTTTTAGTGGCAAACAAATCTCGTCTCATGTTCTCGCAGAACTAAGTTTAATTGAGTTTTGATTCATGTTAGATCTCTCGAACAGCATTTTATCTAGACTTTCTGATTACTGCGCCTTGCACTATTTGGATGGGAAATGCGATGAAAAATGTGCAGTGGCAGAATGCGGATATGACGGTATGGACTGTGGCAGAAATACGCTTCTTCATGATTTAACGGAGAGTAGCACGGTTGGCATCATTTTCGACGGATCACCAGCTGCTGTTCTTGATAAGATATATTCACTTCTTGCAAAACTTGCACAAGTGAGTTGGTAGTAGTGACATATTTGTATGCAGGGAAAAAATTGGTTTATAGTAAAGAAGATTATGGATGCAACGCGATGTAAAATACTAGTACAAATAGTGATAAGGACTTATTTCATTTTCGAAATGATTTAATGAAAAATTAATTGAGTTGTAGTTCGAATTTTCAGAAGCTACACAATCCAGTACATTTGGCTGTAGATAATAACAATAAGACTCGGATTTATGAGTGGTCACTTGAAAATGGAGTTGGACAAGAAATCAATTTAAAGAAGTGGGAAATATCAAGGTAAAATAAGATATTTTTTCCTACTTATTTTGATTTGAATAAATTTTCATGCTGAACTTCACCTTGCATATTCCACAGAAGTCTGGACAGATAGAGTTCAATGCGTGCATTAATTCGAAAAAGGATTTTAATATATATGTATAATCATTATCTGTGCATTTCATGTTCATTTATCTAAAAACTTTCAATTCTTACCAAATTATAAAGAATACATTTTCTTCCCTTTTCCAGAACACGCTTAACAGTACCATATATTATAGGATACTTTTGATAGATCCTGAGATTATTGATGGTTTCCAGTTTCCAGCTGTTGTATTAGGAATACTTGTCGCTACTGTTCATCTTCACAGAGTCCAATTGGCTAATCGTTTTTAACTTATATTAATGTGAAAAACTGTAAAGCTAAATTCATCTTAACATTTTCAGAAATGCAACAGGTGTTTTGCTTTACGTGGATATTGATTCGACGTTTTGTGAACGACGTCTCCATTTGAATATGACAAATGTTTTGCCGTGTTTTACGGATGTTTTTGGTGCCGTTGCTTACCTTCATACTGCTCTCTATGATGAGGTTATTTTTAGATTCCATTTTTAAGTTTTGTATTGTCTCACTAGTTCTATTTCATCAAATTTTTTCAGTTCGAATTCAAAGTATTGGTAAAATAATCTTTTAGGCCAAGAACCGAATAAGCTTGGGTGACGTTACTGTTGAAGGACTTTTCGTAGAAAGTGATAGAAGCCGTTTTCTTCCAGTTTTTCCCGTCTTCATTACGTTTTTGGTCTTCATTGGAGTAATACTATCGTGTTTCTGCGGAATTTATGGATTTTGTGATGTGTTGGAGAAACGGAATATTGGCAGAAATCATGCTCCTGTTTGGAAAGTACCGCGTCAGTTTTACATATTATTTTGAACTCAAATTGAATTTGACTATTTATGCTTATCTAAAGATTTGAGATCTAAGATTTGGAATGATTTGAGTCAAATGATTTCATTGCGAGGGTAAATTATGAAATACTGTGCAAGACATTATTATGATATTATTATATAAGACATTATTATATTATTATGAGTAGTCACTGCAATATCAGTAATGCACAACTTATCAATTTATGTGGCCTGTAATTACTCGGCTGTACTGGTTAACAATGGCTAAAAGAACTGAAAACTAAGGCTGAAGTCATATGTGCAAGGAGAAAGTAGTAATCAAATGTGGTATAATAATCCAAGATAGTGGCAGATAGCTTGGCAAATGATGTCATGCATAGAAGAATTGGTGTCTTTTGTCTTTTAGATATAATGTATACTTAGTAGTAATGAAGATACTGTTAATAAATTGAGGAAAAACTGAATTATGGCACACAATTCAATAATATAATGGTCCTCGGTCCTTAATGGATTCGCTTATTCTTTTTTTTATAGTCAGTGTATTCGAAGGAATCTATTTTTTTTCGGAGCTTTTTTTATTTCTTCAAGTTTAGATCGGCACTAATTTCGAAACTAGTTATTCTGCAGTCGCGAAAACGAAATCCCGCATTACTTGAGTAGCATTGCTTTACGGTGGATAAGGGTTACTGTAAGACGATATGCAATAATTTTTAGTGCTTCTAATGTTGTTTGCTACATATTTTGTTATGCCTTATAAATTCCATCTTGCTAATGTTGGTACAAAAGAATCCCAGATGTACCTAGAATGCTTATAATAACTAATTTAATGGAGGCTTAGTATTTTCTACCTATCACTTAAAATTTTCTTGTTGAAATAAAGTTTGATATTTACTGGTTGAAATCATGTTTATGCCAAAAGAACTTTTTGCAAGCTTTTCCCTTCAGCTGCTGTATAAAGGATTGTTTTCAATACAAAATAAGATAATGCAAAAATCGATTAGTTAAAGCTAGAACTACAGACTATTCATTTTATTATTCATCTTCATGACAGATTTTGCTATCCTTTTTATGCAAATAATGTGATCTGAGATTTTATTAATAGTTCAATGATAAACTACATTCCATACATTCCATACTTTATGCAAATTTATTGTTCAGGAACTTGTTACCAGAGTACTTGATTGTTTTTAGCTTCTTTGCAAAGTAATGTCACCAGTTGGTCAACATTACCATCCACTGAAGACTACTTCCCAAATAAGAATTCTTATCGAAAGGATGGATTACCGCCACTTTCTAAGCTTTTCTCAAGTTCAGCTTCTTGTAGGCGAGAACAACCGAAAGATGTTAGTTTCTAATGTTTGAGATTTTGTTAGTATTTAGAGATTTTACATAATTTTAACTCTATTACGAATAAATATGTCTTTTTTATATCTTTTCTGAATAAATATGTCTTTTTTATGTCTTTTCTAGTTTATGAATCATTACCAGCTGGCAAAAAAGCAGTGAAAGAAAGATACTGGCCAGTCTAGATGCTTACTTCAGTGGTATGCTTCTTTGATCTTTCATATGGCTCTGTATTCTCGAAATACTTTCTGTTTACCTTTCCTCTGTTTTACCTTTATTTCCAAAATACTTACTGCTTGCTAGATGAACTTTGTTATTTTTTATTCAGTTCTTATATTTAGATTTAGATCCAGAACTGAAAAAAAAACTTGAAATGCATATTAAAAGCTTGGATACTTATGAATTAATTGTTATACCATAGTAAGCTTGTTGCAGATAATGGTGATGAAGATTGTCATTTGGGGCCAGACTTATTAAAAGCAGTAAAATGTAATGACGTCGAAGCAGTGTCATTTTTGGTACTTCAGGGAGCGGATGTAAATTGTTCTGATTCGGATAACAATACAGCTTTGCATCATGCTGTAGTTGTAAACAGTGATCAGATTATTCGTCTCCTGCTAAGCACTCACCGATGCAATGTAAATATTTTGTAATTGAAATTATCAGATCTTTGTTAAGCACATGGGTATTTGTCTCCTCTCATGTGTTCACCTTATCCGTAAAAACATGCCAACTGAGCGTTTTCCGGGAGCTCGGTAATGTGCGAAACTTGATGTTTGGAAGAAAGGATTACCGCTTCCAACAAATATGATTATGTTCTTCGTAACGCTATCATTCTCATTGCCATTGCCGAGGAGTTTTGCTTCGATATGTTCTTACTGCGATAGTTGGTCATTTCTAGTTTTTCATTGTTTTTCCATCGTAACTTTCTTCAAAGTTTATTAAACATAGATTTTTATAGTTACGGGCTGTAAATGTCTTGGGACAAACACCACTTACTTTAACTGTTAAATTTGCTCACGTCTCTGATCTATGCGCACGCTGCATCCTTGATTTCATGTACACCGAGTATTATCGACAAACAAAACCACCAAATAATACTTCCGCCCCACGGTTAATTTCTTCGCTTCCGTATGTTGTTTTTTTGTCATTTCGCTAGTTATCCTATTGGTTTTTATTGTTTTTATTCATAATGTGCATTATAAACAAAATCATGCATGTTAGAGCTCTGCTGTTTCCAAGTCTTTTACTTTTACTTCTTTGTATTTCCAATAGTACCTATTTGATTTTTCATTTGCAGACAAAATGGTTTATCACAATCAATGTTTATAACTTCTAGTAGTGTCCGACAATTCGGTCCTTCTCTGGTATGTGAAAGAGTTTTAAAACGATATACCATCGGGAAAATCTGCATTATTCATTTGCAGCGGTTCTGTTTCAGAAGCAGGCAAAGCCAGATGGTTGCATTTTTGCTCGGGATATATTGTCCGAAAAGGATGATCCGACTCTGACTGATATTTTCGGACGCACTGCTCTTCATTATGCTGCACTTAACAGACGTGTCGACCTTTTACCAGTGCTGTACGCATTTGGTCTTAAGCTGGATACTGAAGACACCAAGGTTGACTGTTTTTTTTAGTTCTCGTCATTGTCATTTGATTTCATTAGTCAGCCTATTTATATAATCGACTGCTGTACCCGTCCAAGTTGCGTGATGTACTGCTTTTTTAAAATTTATTATTCTTTATATTTTAAAATTTAGGGAGAAACGCCCTTATATCTGGCTGCCCGCGAAGGTCATTTGGATATGGTTAATTTATTACTGTCATTTGGCGCAAACAGTGAAATCAGTGATCAAGTAGGTTTATAATAAGGGAATTTTGGGATATGCAGTTTTTCCTCTATCATATTTGGAATATTATAGAATTTTCCAGCTCGGACGTATGCCGTTGGATGTGGCGAGGGAAAGAGGGCATTATCTTGTTGTGGAATTTTTAGAAAATGCGGCAGTTAATAATCTTGATATTATAAAAACACGAAAAAGAAAACGAAGTCATAAGCTATCCAATGCAGGTATTTTTTATATACCCTTAGTTAAGGTCCACGTCTTTTGGCGTGTTGGATCTAGCATAACCTCTTCGGAAAGTAATTTGATTTTCTTAAACAAACACACTAAAGGAACTTCGTGATGCATATATAAACTGTTCATCTCGACTTTATATTTTTGAAACATTTTACTCTTTCACAGGATAATGAGTAGAACCATTACACCCAACTTTAAAGTGCTGTTTAGTGATTTAAGATTTGTTTTTTTTCTTCAGTGATTTAAGTTTATAGCACTCTGACAAAACAAGAATAGTGAAGCTGTTGTGAAAGTTTTGATGAAGACTTTATTGCTTGACTAGGTTTTGAGAGAATTACCAGAGAATATGCGGGTTAGAGTCGATCACGAAGTTATTCTTTATTTCGCTAGTAGAAAAAACTTGATGCAAAATCGAAATCAGTAGTAGTACGCTGATGATGGGTAAGTTCAGTGTGATTGCCATACTTTGTCCTAACTCTGTATTTGCTGGAAGTTGTTCTCAACATTTTAATAATTATTCATAAGCTTCTTGGTTATTAGAGCAGATGTTATTTGCAACAGTATAATGGAATTTGGATGAACGTTTCGTCACTTAAAGCACTGGAAATATTTTTGTGTGTAATGAATCTTTTATTTATGAAATTTTCATAATAAAACATCCTTTGTACTAGAAATTTCTGTTTTATAAATTTTTTCATATTTAGATGATATGTTTCTGTTTAAATTATTTAAATGCATCAAAAAACTTCTAGCAAAATGTAAATCGACGGAGAAATCTCAGATTCCAGTTCCATCTTCTCAGGAGACCATTTCACTGAATTCATCAAGCTTTCCAATTAAATTGAATGAAGATTACATGGAAGACGTTGGTGGTTACATGGAAGACGATTACATGGAAGACGTTGATATGGCGATATCTAGCTCGTTCTTGAATTCCATTGAATCATTCGTACTTACACCACCCGGACAAGTACTGGCTGAAGCAGAAAAAGAGCTTGATTTGAATGTTGTGAATTCAGGTATCATTCTTTCACAATCACAGATTAGTGAAATTTCTTATTAATGCATATATATTGTTTTTTGCGTGATAAATATACTTCCCTAATCATTGCAGCTTTCCCGGACTACATCGATCTTACGACAAATTCATGTTTGCCACCCGAATTTTTCCCCAATGATGCGTTCTCCATGGAGTCTTTCAAGGTGTGGGGATTTTTGGAATGAACTTTCTGTTGTTGTTTTTTGGAATTTTTCTAGTCATCATACCAAAGACATGTGTCGCTCTTAGGAAATTGGATTTTTATTTCCTTCTTGGTTTGGAACGAAATTATTGGGAAGTTGCATTAACTTACGAAATCCATCTCTGACTCGCTTCTTTCTCTTTAGTCACATGCGTCCAGTTTCAAAAAAATATTTGGGGAGGGTTTCAAATAGTTTTACTGTTCCTATATATTTTCGAAAACATACTTTCGAATCTAAAACTTTTATTTAAGGTCGATGAAAGCACAGAAATGTACTTTGAGAGACGATCTTCCACAATGTAAAATCACTCAAAATCGATATGGCACTGGTACAATAAAATTAGCTATAGTCGAAGAACTTCTCATTGTTTAGATTTGGTGCAAAATCATAGAGAGAGTCGAGTGCCTGCACTGTTGTTCGAAAAAATCATCAAATTTGCTGTTTGTCTGGTCGTTACTTTTTGATGGTTACATTGAATTATTTCTTCGCATGAATGTGATCGAATGAATCAAATCATGTATTGCCTAAGCAGAACAGCCTTATGACAAGAAGTTATTTAGTTTACTCTGATGACACGAAATCTATTTTTTAGATGAAATTCCAAGATGGAAAGCAATTGATTTTACTTGATAACAAAATTCTGGAATACTTTTGAAATAATTGCGGAAAGTTATAGTCTCCGTTAATGTCTAAAACTGGAGTTCCGTGCATTATTCCACCAGTGACTTTCCCGAGTGGAGATTAGAATTCTTCATTACATTTGTTAAACTTTGCATTGTTTTGTAACTCGTAATTGTACCTCGCCCAATTTTTTCTTTCAGTTCATATTAATTTAATCACGGTAGTTTTTACCATCAGAAGAGAATAAATTGTTGCTTAGTATTATCTCTGTTAAAGAACTAGAGTTGAACGACGTTTCAACAATTTTTTATTTTTTCAATTCCTTTGTTGTGGAAAACTGCTCGTTGATTTTTCTTTTTCTTTCTAATAATATACCTTGCAACTGTCAAATCACCGAAATTAAAGTTACGTTCAAATAAGAAATTCCCACAATACCAGGATGATAAAATCCTGTAAATTAAATTAAGATAATGAAGAGGATATAAGCTAGCAATGGTGGGAATATCACAAAGATACCTCAGTATCTATTCGTGTCTGCACAATGGACTAGCCAAGGGGCAGCCATATCTCCATGATAACTCGGTAGGGCATACAAAAACTCTCCTGAAAATTTCACTATCAAGTAAACTACACGTCCTCTTCGCTTATCCGCCATCATTGGACAACGACTACAATATTCTTTCCTTTCGCTGAAAACATTCCTTGCAACACGGGACGAATGTATCAACCACGACGTAACCTATCACCAAAGTGACAGTCAACTATTATCGAAGACAACGAGAAGGAATTTGTTGGTTGTTCATACTGCTTGCTTATCGCCTAACTCATTTAACGCTTTGTCCTATCCGCTTACCAGTTTACCACGTAGCATGTACATTATACCTTTTTTTGTTGTTAACTAGTAATACTGTACAAGAACAATGTTAACCGAATAAATCTATATCGCTGAGAAACCAAGTCGACAAAGTAGCTTTTGTGATAGCAACTTTGCTTAGCAAGATAACGAAGCAGTTTCAAATAGTAAAGAAATTATAAATAAGGGTCAGTTTATTTCTTCCGTATCTTTATTTCCATTTAAATTATTAAAATTGACAATATTATGATCAATTGATAATCAGATTACTTACTTAACTAATTCATTGATAATCAGATTACTTACTTTACTAATTCCAAAGAAGCTAATTTCGAGTATTCCTTGATGAGCGTGAATGGTATTAATGGCGTATTATATTATGATTGCTGACATTTTGTACATCAGTCCATCAGGCTGCCAATCACTATGGATTTTAGAATTTTAGCGGGCATTCGATGATAGCACTTTATTCTAGATTTTTTTAGCAGTGTCTAGGTTCGTCCTATGGCAGCCACATAGACATGAACGAAAGCCAATATACTCGCTGCATTCATATTTTTGTCCTATCCAGCCAACTATGGAGAAAGCTTGAGATAGCTCTCATAGCTCTCCCTGCTGTTTACTTTTAACATCACTTTGGCATAGTCTTTCATATACAGGTTACACGACTAAATCTTGTGGCCTTTGATGAAAGGTTTTCTTTCCTAACCTTTCCTCAGAGACTACAAGATTTAGTCATGTAACTTGATGTTATCAAAATAAAGTACAGCTCGGAGGATTGAACTAACTTATAGTTTTATTTCCATTTTCCACTCCACGGTAAAAAAGCATAAATCACGAGAACAATTCTCACAAATTAGGTGTGTAAAATAGGTGATCTATAGACTTTCCAATTACTGAATTAGAAGCAAAGGTAAACCAATATGCTAGTCCACAAAAGGTACAGGTACCATATTCTCTTAATTAGCTAGTGTAAATGAACATAAGGATCAAAATAAGTACAAGCAAAATAAGTGTAAACGTACCAGAAGCATAAGGTTTATGGAAAAGGTAGACGAAGATGCGACAGTCTAATGAAATCATTAAAAAGATAAAACTGATTTGTTTGTTTCACAAGTTTGACTCAGGAAAGGAAATCACTCATCCCAAATCCCCTTCCCTCTATCTGCATAGAATTTGCTCTTAACGAATAATTAAAATCAACCATTCACAAGGAAACTATAAAGCGAGAAAACGCGTTCTAACTTCATTATTGTACAATGCGTGATCCCAAACATTTCTGAGTTTGTGTATGTTTAATTACTGAGGATGATTAAATTCAACTGGTTTGTCACTGATAGGGAAATGCAGTTTCACTATCCTCTTGCAGGAGGCCATGCATAACGGTTATTTAAAATTGATGAAAATCCGATATCACGTTTTTCCGGCGAGTAAAGATAGTAATTTGTCGGTTAATTATGAAATTTCAGTGAATCTTTTGTTAAACATGAAATTCCAGAGCAACCATTCCTTTTATTTAGCAAAATCATTACTCGCGAAATTATTACCACCACTAATCTCTTGCACGGCTTTCCACAACTGAATCGCTCGCAGGTTATTTGTAATTTCTTTGTCAAACAATTCATTGGCTAAACGTAACTAAAAAACGAGTATAATTGAGGAAATATCAAAAATAATTGAAGAAATACCAAAATTTCTTCCTCTTACATTTAATTTTCACAGTTAAAGCTTAAATTACAGTTTCGCAACTGCAATATCCACATTTTGATTGATGAAAACATACTTTAATAATATTGTGTTCAAGTTCTTGCTTTCGTTTGCCAGCGGATTCTACGGTCCATTCCTTATCCATTTCTAAATTCGGCCTATCTTCAGGGAGTGTTACTTCGTCAGGTATGCGGAAAACATATTCCAAAGTGTATGCCTGGAATTTCATGATTAAGCACTGCTTGTTAGTTGAAAATAGAACTGTTTTTTGCGGAAAAAAATTCGCAAAATTAGAGTTCCAATTCAATGATAAGCATGCTGACTGGACTTCTAATGACTTGAATAAGAAGTAATATTCAGCTACAAAATCTACCTTATCTTCAATAAAATGATCAAATAACCTCTAGTTTATTCATAAGCGAGTTCAGGATATTGTTTTTGCCAATCATATTGACAAGTTCCATTTTCAAATGCAGTTTCATTTCACCGTTTACATCATTAAGTGGCAATTCGGGTATTATTTTCTTCTCAACAACTTCTGCCCATTCTTCCAAGATTAAATTATAGACTGAAAAAGTGGAAATAACGCTCTAGAAATAAAGTTGGTTTTTGGAGCCTTTAAATTGTCGAAAAAACAGAATTACTCAAAATTTCGATAAATTGTGTCCCAATGCTTAAACAATCGTATCCCGCATTCAAATGATTACAAATTATATCACTCTTACGGACACTTGATACTGCAGCAACTCTCAACAATTAAATCCCGATCGAAATGAAATCACTATGACCGACATCTGTTAAATCCTAACCAACATCCGTAAATCCTTTCGGTACAAAACCAAAAAATTGTGCTTCGTATTCATGCAGCCCATCCCAGTCGCGACCTTTCATACTCCTGAAGACAAAATAACAAGTTATAATTGGAACTCATATTTCACCTAAACATTTATAGTATTCCAAGGACTAAGCGGCAATACTTCATACAATTATTGATATCTCTGCAAAAGTATACTCAAGTTCGCAAAAATAACAGCTTTACATAAGTTCTTATATTTTTAGACAAAAAATGACAAAAAATAATGAAGTAGATGTGAAGTTAAACTGTAGAACAGAAAATGTGAAAATATCCGTAGTGGATCAATAACTGCAACCAAGTAACAAAAACTGATTTCAGTTTTTATTGAGTCACTCAGGAATAATACAGTGTACGATATAATTTCGGTAGGGAAGAAATTAGTGAATGAAAATCGTTTACACGGAGATATCGAAGTAATGCATACACCAATTTGTTTATTAACAATTAAAGCAGTAATCTAGAATTTTACAGTCTTCTACTTCATCACTGCTAATTCATCAGAGTCATCAAATAACTCAAACAAAACACTAACAGAACGATTTGATATAGTGATCAATCACGTCGCTTGAATATATTATTTTTTTGTTTGAAATTGGCTGAACTTAGCAATCCACCTTTTCCATCATTTTGTTTGTGGAACTTGAAAGAGCTGTATTTAAGGATTTATTTTATCAGAGATTTATCAATAATCCTGCCTAGAAACTAAATAACAATAATGGACTGAAATATTATCAACATCTTGATAATGGTGTGATAAAACTGCCGGTAACAACAGTGATCTCATAATGACGTAGAGCTGTATCCAGTTTTAATTTTTCTTCGTCGCTTGAACAAAAAATTATTTTTTCTGGAATGGAACTTTGAAGCACTGTTTGGTTCTTATTTTTCTGAAAGAAATAGCAAAATAACAAGATGAAAAATTAGTATTTTACTGTTCAAAAAACGAAGATAAAATTGGGTAGAAAAATGGAAAAAATATGCATACTAAATATAACTAAAATAAAATACTAAATATAACTAAATTAGCAGATATTATGCAAATATCATGCGATTAGCTAATACCAATATTATATTAATTAATTTAAAGTCGACAATATTCAATTAACGCTAGAATCAATTAATTTTCAAAAACGACGTGTCGAAAAGGACGATATGAACAAAATACGACGGGAAAACTTCATAGACGAAATATTAGGTGGTGGTATCTAGGGAAAGGGAAAAAAATACAGCTCTGAGAACAAGGATTGCTTTATGTTAGCAGGGAAACACAAGGTGATTCGAGTTTCATTAGGAATGGACAAAGGAATTGATAACCAGGAGTGCTACCCGTTTTCAAGCTGGTGCACAGTAAAGCATGCTTTGTTATATACGTGCTGAACTGACTAGGCAGGCGACTTTGGGAACTTTATTGTATCATTGGGGTCAAAATTATTGAAAAAAAAACCTGTGAACTATCGAGTTCTACGACACTGCTTTTCACATCAGGACCTTGTTTCTCGGATGCAACATCATTAGTTTCAGTTTTTTTGATGAACGGTAACCAGCAAGTACGTAAGCATAAAATCATGCAGCGCGCTATCCAACCTTGTTTATTAGTTGTTTCAACTGTAACTTCTGATTTCCAAACTTTCGGAAATCTACTGGAAAAAAATTTTACGTCTTAAATTAGTGATATGTTGAAGCAGTAGTTTCATATGCAATAAATTTTTGTTTTGTGTATTTTTCACATTTTCCCACTCAAATAAAAACATATCTTCAAAGACAAGTAACATCAGAAATATTTCATATGTCCGTATCCATTGAGTCTGATCTCAAGCATGAAAGACATTTTCTGAGAAGTCAAATAACAATGAACTTTGATAAGGAAAAGAAACTTTGCTAAATTTTTTGTTCTACAAGTCGTACTTCAAGTTCGTGAAGCTTTTAGATGAAAGCTTACTTTTCATGCACAGGTTTGAAGATGTCCGTAAATGACAGCCTGGAATTAGGTGTAAAAGTCATTTGTTCTATCATTTTCTCGGTTATGTCGTCAGTTGTAGGAGATATGTTCAGCTTGTTGTATTGCCCAAGAACTTGCCTAAACAGAGAAATTGCTAGGACAGAAATACCGAACAGTAAATGAAATGCAGGTTCATTCTGCATGATTATATCTCAGTGGTACCATTTTATTTATAGCGCTAAGTGTCACATCATCAGCTACAACCATTTCACCAAAAAGGTAACTCACCTTGCAATGATATTTATATGATGACGATCCAATCGAAGATATTGCTTACATGTATTCACTATCAAAAGACTGTTATAGAACAGAAAAAGTGCATCGGCCTGATCCTGCGGTTCCTTCCCCATGCAGCAATCAAAAACTGCATCAATTTCAGCAACAGATCCAAAGTACTCTGTGAGAAAATTGAAATTAATGAAAGGATCGTATTTCCATAGTGATTGTAAAGGTTCAGTGAATGAAAAGTACAAAGAGTAACCTCTATTTAAAAATTCATCCATGCAAGCTCTTCGCAACCGCTCCAGACCCATTTCCAAATAAATTTGTATTGGTGTAAGACCCTCTAAACGCGGTAACAACAAGTCGTTGGCACATGCATCGCGCAATAAACGTGCCATCGTACACCTATTATTTGTAAGTATCTAAAACTAATACGAATTCCTCATTTTCTTCATATGTTTAGAAGGATTTGCAGATATAACCAACGTCTCGCTTATGTAGGTTAATTGCCAAGAAGAACGAAGAGAGAAAGAAGAGAGAGAAAAAAAAACTAACCAAGGTATTCTTATATCCTGCTTTCAAAGCATCAAAAACATATCTTAAGGCTTTTATGAGATCTTGATTTGAATGGCAATAATGCAGTATAAGCCACAGTTCTTCTGTGAAATCATGAGGCACATCCAATGGAACATTTTCTTCCAAATTTTTATCTACAAACGAAACATTCAGCTCTTCCTTAGGCAATTCAAGGCATCATAAGTAGATTCAAGCATTTCAAGTTCAGTAGCAAAGTTCAAAATCAATTCCGATATAATCAAATCCATCCATACCACCGCTTTCTACCAAATTCAATAAATTCCTTGCCCAAGAGAATTTTTTCCTGCACAAATCAGACATTTTAACATACTTCTGGAAAAAGTCGAAGTTTGATTAAGTAGAGATTGTAACGCAGAGTTTATAAGCTTCTCATCCTCATGCATTCGATCAAAACCCACATTTGGCCAAGTCATTTTGCCGGTTCGCAGTGCACGTCCTAGAGTTAGCACCAGTTCCAATTCACCAGCCAGATCAAGTTGCGGCAAACGCACATCAAGCCAACCTGGTGATATCTTCTGTAAATGAACTTAATATTTTTCAACACAAAATCACCCTTATAACAAAAAATAATCTATAAAAGCATCTAATGACTAGTAAATATATAAAATGCTTCACAATTCTGCTTATCAAGAACGTTCCGGAACCGTCATTGTGGTAATAAAACAATCAGGTTATATATTACTAAAATTTTTTAGCTATCAAAACTAAAGCATACAGCAACGACAGAAGCTGACGGAATAGGTTTGGAAAGTATTCCATCAGAAAAACGATTTATATTTGCAAGTGTCCATGATACATGAAGTTCTACAAATCCCGACACTCTGTTTTGGTTGTCTCGATCGGTAGTAACTGTTTTCGGGATAACATCATATGTACAATAAGCTGTGTCTGGAGAGGCCTGAACCTATGCAAAATTTAATTGGTACGAAATAAAGTTGTTCAAAATATATCATTGCTCTTTGTAAAGAATAGTTACTACTATGGTTACATCAATGGTTACGTAGAAAATATATCAATGATTACAGAGTCAGCAACTGTGATGGCAGCAGTGAAAAAATCACTCGAGAAGCGAAAAACAAAAACAATAAAACTTTGATAGATTCTGAAAATATCGCTCACTGATTCATATCTTTAATGCTCTGAAAATAAAGCCAAACTGACCCTGTAGGAATCATAGAAGCGTTCCATGTAATCCTCCAAAAACTTGACGGCACCTGTGTAATTTAATGCTGAAAAAGTTTATCATACACTATTTTCCTCAAGCGATTAATGATGTCGACTAGTTAGCTGATAGAGAATAATACAAAGTACTCTGGGACTACCGTATATTTCAGTATACTATTTATGTGATTCAGTGAGCTGAGTTTTCATATGTATGGTCGGTATCCATCATAATCTATCATCACAAACAAATTAACAAATAACTTACGCAATGTTCTAACATGGTATGTCGCAGTACCATCATTTGTCCTGCACATACCTAACAAACATGTATGCAGGTAATCACTACTATCACAGGAAATCCAAATAACTGGATCTGGGACTGTTTCCGTATTAAATAAGATTCCATCGATGATAAGTCTAAATTAAATATTTCTTACTGATTAAAGTTTTTTAGTGTGCTTGAAAACACAGACATAAGCAAGCACATCACATTATGAATTATTCTCAATTAAGCATGACATACTTGCCAGCAAGTGAACGAGCTTCTGATGCTTTCAGCGAAGACAAAGCAAACTGTTTTATTGCAAAAGAATAACATTCGTCGATCAAAACCTTTGATGTATTCTTTGTCTGAAATCCATTAAATATATCGATGTAAGATACAGTAAAACAAAAAGCAATGCCTTGAACTCTACGGACTACGCAAGTCCTAACGATCTAAAAGTAAAAAATTTTATACATGAAGATAGTTTATACATGTGGTAGTTTTCATTTTCAACAGTTCACGTATTAACGGTGGAATCAAGAATAGTGGTTCTCAAAAATGCATTTACAAATTAAATTCTCATCAAAAGATGAATAAACAACAACCTGCAGTTTCGACAATGTTAAAAATTCATATTTCAAAGGTGAAGTGCCAATTTCCGAACTGTTTTGAGAATTCTGCTCTTCACAGTCCTGTACTTGATCTTTAAATTCTGACAAGGTGCTTCTCCCTTCCTCTGTAGGCTGAATATATGAAAATTAAAACGTTTATTCTTACTAAAAGTCTTACAAATGTAAAGTGATATGCCAGAGTTACTTCTCTCTAGAGTTAAAGGAACACTGCGAAATTTAAAGGTTATTTTGATAAAATAGGATACTCAGTAAACTGACAGGATTTTCCTGTCAGTTTGTATACTTCTTCGTCATTATTCTAATATTTACATCCATGTTTTAAATACATAATATAATCCTGAAAAGACTCATTAATGAAACTTCATAGCCAAACTTTAAAAGATACATTCATGTTAACGATAAGACCTACCAAAGAAACTTTGCAATCAGATTCTAAAAGACGATCGATTATCACGACTTCCTTTCCCATCATCCAAGATAGAATGTTGACTACAGGCACTTCGGACTTATTTACGAGACGAGCTCGATATTTGCCAAACTTAACTAATGTGTAACGGAAGATTTATCGTCAGTTTTAAAGAAAAAAACGCAGATATTCGAAAAAAATAGTGAAATGAAAGATTTCATAAAGAATGAAAGTGGAATTTCCATTTAACATTTTAATTGAACAGTTCCATAGCTTCTGATTAATTTTGTTTTTTTCAACCATTGTTTTGACCATTCACTTCTCTAAATACGCAACACGCATTAACAGCCTCATATTATGACATGTACTACATATAAAATAGTGCTTACCAGTATTGCACCGTTTTTTGAACATAATTCTGCTCGAGTAATGTCCGGTAACATGTTGACTGAAAGGATCTAAAAGTCTGCGTATAACTGAAGAGCCAACTGCAATGAAATTTCGAATTACAATTGCGATCACTAATTATTATTAATAAAGTGATTATTGAAATTATGAGAAGGGACGCTAAAAATCAACCAAAACTATTAATCTCAGATAAAAAAGGTAATAAAAACCTTTAAACCAAACTCAAAAATATAAACTAGAACTTTATTCAAATTACAAAAATTATCGAATTAACTTCGAAAACAAAAAACAGACACAGAGATGCAGCCAAACAAATGTCATTTATGGCGCAAATAAAGAATAACTGAAATCAGATCGGAAAGTAAAACTTGTTCAAATATATTCCATATAATATCAGATTAAAGCAATATTCATATGAAAGAGTTAAAATGGAGTTACAACACATATTCCTGAAATGGTGTACAGCGGATGAATGAACAAAAGCTATAATATACCAAAACAGTCGTAGGCGAATTCGGGCCAGAACGAATAAGATTTCAAAAACTTCATCTTTTTTTTCCAGAGAAGTGCAATTGATACAGAAACACAAAAAGAGATATTATAATATAAGACTACATGCATTATTGAAATCAAGTTTTTCCCTTTTGAAGGAAATTAGTTCCAACTGTTTTTCAAATTCCTAATGAAAAACAGGAAAAATCAAGTTTAAACGAAATCTACCAAAGAGATAATATTCGAGTGATTTCTTAGCAGCTCATGCTGATAACTTTGATATATAGCCCGAAAGACGAGTAGGTGTGGGTAAACGTGATTTTTTACTATTGCGATTTAGCACACTTAACCGATGCCGAAGTTCAACGTCATCCATGGTTCGCTGCGCAATCCCATCATTCTTGAATTTTTTTTCACATAAGTTGAAGCCTTTCTGTGATGTAAACCCGTTCTTGTGATCGTTATGTTGCATAATTTTGGTGTAAGAATACCCTTTTGGTTTACTGATCTGCAAAGGCTGTGCTTTTACCCAAGGAATTTCAGAGTAAGGCAAAACCATTACTGCAAGTAAATCTGAAATTAGGAAAGAATTAAAGAAAAATGAAACATTACCTCAACTACACAAGAAAGTGTGATATAACAGATTATGAAAAGGACCGTGACACAATACACCCTATAAATAAAGAATGATATGGAATTAAAAGTTTGCAAATTAGATATTTTAGCAATAAAGTCGGGGAGAAATCCACCTTGATATCTTCTTCGTTACATTAATCAAATAATTTATTTGTTAAACTACTTCACCAGTAATCTAATTTCGAATCAAGTGAATCAAGACCCTTTTTTGCGATGCAAGCTTATTAAACGCAATAAGATGAACCATATGAAAATAATATATTCCGCTCGATTCTCGAAATTCGTGCCACAGATTGTATAGTACTCTAAAGGTTCACTGCCTACCATTTCCCGTAACTGCCCACCAGGAATACAATGAAAATCGAATAGCTTCTGCTGCTGTTCTTCTACACAGAAATATTTCTTACGGTATAAAACCTGAAAACAAAAAGTCGTTCGATTAAGCTTAATAAAACTTCAACATATGTAAATATATAAATACAAAAAAGTCGCACTTCGTTCTGACTGAAATTCATTGGGGATTCGACAAAATCAGCAAAGTCAGCGTTCCTGATGGTTGATTAACTACAACCAATTATAAATGCATAAGAGACATGTAAATTGAAACCATACCAAACCAAATGGTGAAAAAATTTGTTCCATTTCATTACACGAACCGATCGCCTGATGCATACCTTCTGAAAAGATGTTCTCAGGGGAACTAAACACCGCCAATAACATATGAAGCAAAAAATGAATTGCCACAACTGAGAGTTCAGTCAATGTATGAATAAGTCTTTCATTCAATGGAACTTCGACCAACTGATCTTTTACTGCTGAAATATATGATATAATAAGACAATGCGATCAATCTCAATGAAATTTTCATTTATGCACATTTCTGTTCCAGATCAGCTAGCTTATTAATAAGAACTTCTAGGAAAATTTTCCTAAAATTATCTCAACTTCAATTTCTAGTCTTTGTGATTTTTATAGTATAGAACAATAGTTTCATCTGCTTAAAATGTTAATGGAAATCCACATAATGTGTAATGTAAATTCCAGACCTGCATCATGCAAGTAATATTCCATTCTAGAATTAAACAATGCTTTCAATGCTGTAGTTGCATATACAATGAGCAAAAGTCCCAATGAAAAGATGGAATGGATCTAAAAACGAGTAATTAAGCACTAGAGAAATTATAGCTCAAATGAGCGAGAACGAATTCATAAAAAAAATTGTTACCCGGAAAATATCGTGTAGAATATGGAAGAAAATTACGTACTGCAATATAGCGAGGCAAACAGCAAACAACGCTGCACCAAGTACACAAAATAATTCAGTAAAAAATCTGAAAATTCTCTTTACTTTCTAGAAATTATGACAGTTACGCTGAGAAGTTAAAAACAATTCCAGTTTCACATCCGTAACCATTTGATTCGTATACAAGTTAACTGATTAGTCACAAATCCGTAATATATCTGCCAGTGAATGAAAAATCATTGGGCCTTCATCATCGTTATATGCAAGAACACAAACACATTGCTAGAGAACAATTAAAATTTCTGAACGATCAAAATATGAACTGCACTACTCGTCAACAAGTAAAAATAAAAAAATATCTCCAACCTTTTCCAGTTATATTTTTCGTGAAGAAATCCTTTCCGAAACAAGTATAAACTGACACTGAATGATGTCCCTAGCATTGCATACCACGCTAACACAACTAATGGCACAGAATAAAACCTGGAAAAGTGACTATCGATAAGCAATATACATCAAAACTCTTCTCTCAAATCGCCAATGTTTTGTTGCTACTCTTCAAAATGCTTTTGATGACTAAATGTAATGGAAAATTTGAAATTTCTATTTAAAAAATACAAATATTTATATGCTTACGTATTTATGAGACGTGGGTCACCATCATACCACTGCCACCAAAGCAACTTTGTACCCATTACTTGTAAGGGCAGCGACAACAGGAATACTAGAAGACCATTTGCTGCAGCTTCACCCCACCATTCCAAACGAATTCTGTAAAACATTGCGCACTAAACTGAGGAAACAAATTCATACTGCAGTGTAATCGGTATATTTGAATATTTTAAAATTAGACAGCAGAAGTTTTTGAATAACAAAAGAAACATGACGATCACCTTTTCACTATGACATAGGAAGTGTAGAACAATGTGTGGTAGATACCACATAATAAATAAAGCGGAGTGCGCATTCCCATGAATGTTAACATTGTTTGGCTATAGAATACAACGTTCATGCTTTCATCGACAAACTTTATACTTTCAGTAAAGAAGGCTAATAAATAAACGCCAACCCATGTATACACGTAACGTGAACCGCAACGAAGAGCTTAAAATTTCGAAGAACGATTTGACTGAAGTGTTACTGAACCTTCAATTCAGCTGATTAAAACATATATTCAATCAGAATAACAAGGAATACGGGTATAAAGAAAGTAGCCAACTTAAGAAAACGACTAAACCATTAATGTTCATAAAGCTATTTTTCCCACAAATTCTCAATTTTTTTCGAACATGGTTCTCAATTATTTAAGGGAACTATATATTAAAATGTTACCACAGAAAAGTGACAACAACCAAAGCACTGAATATACAAAATCTGACACAACCAACGTTGGGTGATTTTCCACCAACGGCTGTAGTTCTCGAGTCTTACACAACCAATCTGCCACCTGTGAACATCTTGGAAAATAAGAAAAATCAAAAGTGTAAGGAATTTTTCCTTCTCATAGAAACAGTATCTACTAAAAACGTTCACAAATAAAATAAGAATCGAACCCGTATCCACATTTATGCAAATTTAAAAACCATGGAGACTAGTCAGCAAATATCACCTATAAAAACAGTATAAGAGAATTAAATTTTGTATATTAAAAGTCAAGACCTACTGCATGATTAAAAACTATAAACATTAATTGAAAGCAATGTTGGATTCTTTAAGTTAAGTTTTTAAAATGAAACCTCTAAAAACTCATAAATCTAAAATAAAGCATAAACATGAGGTAACACAAGGAATAAATAAATGCTAACTGCAATGATTTTCATCACCACTGATGTGATGTTTTTCTTCGTATTTCGGCATATCGTGAATGGAAGATAACGAAACAAATAGGAATCCAGCAGATACTCCATAAAAACTAGAAGTAAATACCTTCCTCATTACATGTTGCTCAACATAATATAAAACAATCCCGACAGCACTTTTCGAAGGATTTTCCATTTTGCAGAACCATTTTTTTTACTATATGAATTGGTAAGTAAATCACGAGTCAACAGCAGCTTACAATTTTCATTCCTCATATTTTTTTGCACTAATTGATTCATATTGGACAGACTTTGGCTGGGTCTCTGAAGTTATCACAACCAACTACCGATCTAAGGAATCTTTTGAGAACCTTTGCTTAACGATCTCTGATCGTGAAACTGTGCTTGTAATATGGCACCTTGACCTTTGCTCTTATAAACTGGGATATTCACTCAGCTTGATTTTACAAAACCATTTAACATTAGATTCCAACTATATTTCCCAAAACCAGTCATCTAAATTGCACCATTAGTTTAATTCGATTAAGACTGACAAAATTGAAGCACAAGCTTTATTAATCAGAGTGACCAACGTCCCTGTTCAGCTATTCTAAACCAAATTACGGTAAGAAAAACAAAACTTGAGTTTTATCGAAAATTATATCTCTAACAACAGCAATACCTAAAGTGTATGAGATCAAAATTGGCATAATTTATCCACTTATATAAAGAATTACATGCACAAGTGTGGAAGAATGTTATCCCTTTTCACTTACCATATCCTTGAATAATTAGTCTACCTGAATCAGAAGAACATTTAGGGATCTTGGGCCTCGTTGTTTCAATCAAAAAAGCAGTTTTAATGCAGTGAGATGAGATGAGACATCACTACTTTAAACCTCGAAATTTCTTTATAGTCTTTGAAAATTGTGTTATTTGCATAGCTAATCCGAATTTCAAAAAAGAAAATAAAGCAAAGGAGGTTAACCTTAACGAAGGAGGTCAATGCGTCACTTCATCATCGACATTTTTTTTAATAGAATAAGTTTACTGATGATGGGTCAATAAAACTTATTTTCATATATCATTAATTCATCGCTTCCCAGAACAGAAAGCTATCATCTATCTGAGATGACTCGAACTAGCAAACTGATCGTATTGAGTTGACCAGCATGTAACCAGTGTGATGTCGCAGCCACTAATTTAGCCTTAAAATGCGTTGACCCCTCCCGCCAAACACAGCATTTCAAACTGGAAAAAAAACGGCGAGTGGGACTATGGCATTGGCCAACCGCGAAATCGGATATGCATAGAGAAAAAACGGACACGGCGATAATTGTTGAAGGAAGTGTGTGGTGGAAATGGACCTGACCTGGGTATCTGGTGGCCCCCAGTGGCCCCCAGCAAATTTTCCATGTCGATGAAGCTGCGGAAAAAGCGTGCCGTTACCTCCCCCCTCCTCCTCCC